GACCACGGGGGACTGAGAAAAAATAACAAATGAGCTAGCGAGTAATGAAAAAAAGTGATTTACACAACTGTTTATAAAATACCTATGGCAAGAGAAAAGAGAAACATTCAAATACCAAGTGCATGACACCATCGTGTGCGAAAAAAACGTTAATACTCATGGGGCTAACGTTTTTTAACAAAGCGAAGGAATGAGTAGCTAAAATAAATAAGTATTGAAACGAAATACTTAATATTGTAATAAGGTCGATCAAAATTGGTTTATGAATGAACAACTGTTTGTAGGAAAACTATAATTATGAAACAAGACTAGATAAATATGAAAGAAAAACAAATTAGCTTGATAGAAACTGAATTACATGGTTGAGTTCAGCAATCAAGCGCCCTATTCCCCATCGTAGTCTGAGCTTAGTTTCCTCTTCACGTTCCCCAGGCATAATGACTCTGCCCTACAGAGTAAAAGTGCCATTCAAGTAATAACAAGATTATAATCATGCATAAATAAAATGAAGAAGCTTCGTAATAAAATATTGTTGTGATTACCTGGGGAAATATGTGAACCCAAAACCCATTATTTAGGAGAGATAACGTAAAGTCCATGCTTGGTTGGTATCGGCCTCCACCCACAGAGGTATATTTCTTGGTTTCTATATCATAAACGTTACGCCAGACTGGAATTCCTTTTCCGAGCACGAAAAAGTAGCTAAACATACTTTTGAAGCAAATATCATTTGCAACCAAACTCCAACGAAAACTATCAACTTAAGGAATGTGATATTAAACAGGTCAAACCATTCATTAAATCAGATATTTTGAGCGTTGTGCCAAAAAGTATGAAATCATCAAGGCAAGAATGATGGTTAGACACGGTAATAAGGGATTGGAAAGTTGGTCTGCAATAAACCGACTCGAGTAGGGATTCTTTGTTAAAAACTTTCACATTATGACGAAAAAGCGAGGCACGTAAAACAAGGCCAACAAGGAAGGATGAAGTCAAATGCAAGAACTTTCGAAATGGAGGCCGAGGTCCAGTAGTGAAATGCACTCGCCAAGCTAAATCCATGTAGGTTAATGAAACATGGGGGCTATTAATAGTATTTCGCAAAAACTCATCCAACCCGCAAAAAATACAAAAATAATAATATTCGCCTTAAATAAATATTTAAAGTAATTTATTTTTTTGGTCTTGTATCAGTTTTTATAATCGTTTTTATTGTCACTCAGCGTCTGTCTCTCAGTTACCCATTACCGCAAGATTCTAATGTCCGTGACCCCGCCTGACGCGGCATTGTCACTTAATAATGACGAAGAGATTAAAATGACAGAAGACGAGTTACTAAAAAATAAGGTTAAATTTAATTAATTTTTATTTTTAGGCCACTTTTGGAAATGATGATTCCATATCCGACGTGAGCAGGCCAAACACTGCAGAAGGATCAGGTAAAATTTAAAATATTTAATACCAGAAATTGCCTCTTCTAATACATCAAACAAGACAAATAAGGAATCAATGAAGGATATAGGAAGTGATGATCATTCTAAAAGTCTTGAAGACAAAAGTCGACCAGATTCTGAGATATTAAAAGATGTTCTTGACTATCCTTCCGAAATTACAGCTACTCCACTAGCGACGAATGAAAACGAAGAACCATCATTATGTGCAATGTCTTTTGAAGAAACTTTAGAAAGGATGAGTACAATTAAAGATAATATTACAAAGGACTCTGAACTTGAAAGACTTCAACGGCGTGA